CGCGATCCAACAATGGTCTTGTCTAAATTTGAATCCGCTAAAAGCTCCACTATGAAGTCACAATCCAGGATCCAAACTAAATTGTAAGCTAAATCCACAATCCGAGCCAAAATATTAGATAAATCCGCACTCTGCTGTATTAATAAGATCCGCAAATCTGTGCAAAATATTCGCCAGACCGAAATCCGAACAAATTTTTCTGTGAAATCCGACGATCCGAAAACCTATTCACCCCCCCTTAAATGCATCTGCAAATGGTAAAATTGACGCCATATATACAGCAATATGAGCAAAATTTACTGAACTTCATGCAGCCATGATCATTTTCTCTTTGGCGTACTATCTAAAATCTCTTCATTTTAGCATTATTTCACAGAAAAAGCACTAAACATACTTTTAAAGTTTTTTGCCGCTCGAGAAACATTAGGTATCAAAAATTAAAAAAAATTGAATATATATAGTCATAATTACCAAGTGCAAAAGTATATGGATTAGTTTTGAGCGTGTGTAATTTAGGTTTTGGAGAAAAGAAACTCGTCGATTTTGAGTATAAATACTTTGATTTAAACCTACATGATCAGTTTCAAATGTTTTGGGACAGATGCCCAAACTATATATCTGTTATCCCCACCCACGCCCCCTTTTCAATGTTGGGTCTCAGTGAGCATGTTACTTTGGTGTAATTAGATTGCGAGCGGTCCCTCCTTTCCGCGGGTTTAGATTTGCTCGCGGTCTACTTTTTGGTGTAGACTGATTATTGCAGTCCGTTATGGGATAATTGCGGTATTGGAATGAAAAACAGGCTGCAAAAATATCAAAATCGGGCTGTAAGGGTAATTACTGGGGCAAACTATGATGTTCGATCGGCTGTTTTACTTAAAAACTTAAGGTGGGAACCCTTAGAAGTAAGACGCAACTACTTGCAAGCTATTTTCATGTATAAAATAATTAATGGCCACACCGCACCTAATCTAAAAGAATCGTTTCTATCAAACAACGAAATAGATAATTCTTACAATCTCAGAAATAGAGAAACTGACTTAGCACTTGCTATGCCAATGGAATTCGGCAAGAGGTGCTTTGACTATATATGGGGCCTCACTGTGGAACGATCTTCCCCAGGAGGCAAAAAATTCAGAATCGTTAAGCTCTTTCAAAACAATTTTGAATCAGAGAATTTGTTGAATCTGGCTCATCAAAATATATTAACCTCTAAGCAGTACAACTGTGCTATTATTCACTTGTTGCTAATGTGTTTTATCCTGTAAATAGTTCTAAATCACGCCCCTCATGAAAATCAGCTTCGTGAATAAATAAAGTTTGTATGTATGTATGTATGTGCGTATGTGTGTGATTTGGTAAACAACATTGAATGGGGGAGGAAAGGGGAAGATACAAATGGTTGAAATAATTTGCAAAAAAAACACAAGTGTTATAATATATGTCAGAAAAACGTTGACTAAAAAATTAAGTAATTTGACATTTAATTTCCACGATTATGTACAAGTTTACATCTGTTAATATATGGAAGGCAGAGATAATGATATCTATATATAGCTAGATGTATTATAGTCAGTGCTTCCACTTGAAAGGAAAAAATAAGCAAATACAATTTGGAAAGAAATTGGAAGGAAATTTGGTCATCTGGAGAGAAAATAAAAGGAAATTTTGAAAATCGTATACTTTCAAAAACTTAAAATTTTAAAACACTTGGAATTATTTCTTTTTACTTTCGCTCAAACTCTACACGGAATTTCTAAGTTTAATTTTGAGCCCCACTTTGTGGTACTAGATGAAAAGATATATATTTTGTACTGATGGCATATTATTTATCAATAATTTAGAAAGAATCTGCAAGGAAATTTCAATACTTTGGAAAGGAAATTTTGTTAGGAGGAAAAAGGAGGAAGGATAAAAAGGGATATTTTGCTTCATCGGAGTGAAGCACTGACAATATTCACT